CAATTGCCCAACACCAACCCCCAGTCCTCATACACCTAAAAGACCCCACCTGTTTTCCAGCTCGGGCCCAGTTTCCCCTGTCCCAGCCCAAACTTCGAAGACTTAAGCCAATCATTGACTGCCTCCTGGGACAGGGCCTACTGGTCCCCACCTCATCCCCATGTAACACCCCCATCCTTCCAGTCCGTAAGGCCTCAGGGGCCTACTGACTAGTCCAAGACCTCCGACTTATTAACGAGGCCATCATTCCTACACATCCGCTAGCCCCTAATCCCTATACTTTATTATCCCAAATACCCACGGGCACCACCCACTTCACAGTGATCGATCTCAAAGATGCATTCTTTTCCATCCCAATCCACCCCGACTGTCAATTTCTGTTCGCCTTCACCTGGATCAATCCTGACACCAGACAGGCCACTCAACTCACATGGACGGTCCTGCCTCAGGGGTTTCGAGATAGCCCTCATTACTTCGGTCAGGCCCTGGCCTGGGACCTGGCCCTCTGCCCTCTTAGCCCTAGTAGTACCCTGCTCCAATATGTGGATGACCTCTTACTATGTAGCCCTTCCTAAGATCTCTCAAAATAACACACCATAACTCTCCTTAACTTCCTGGCCTCCAAAGGATACCGGGCCTCACAGTCAAAGGCCCAACTCACGTAGTCCTCAGTTACTTACCTGGGCTTGCAAATTACCCCCACCACCAAGGCCCTCACAACCGACCGGTGCCAACTCCTCCAGTCTATCCAGCCTCCAACTAACGGAGACCAAATCCTGTCTTTTCTGGGCCTGGCGGGATTCTTCCACCATTGGGTTCCCAACTATGCCTCATTGGCAAAACCCCTCTATGCAGCAGCAAAAGAAACCCCAAAGGGGCCACTCTCCTCACAAAACGAGGTCACCCGAGCCTTTCTCACGTTACAGTCTGCTCTGACATCTGCCGCTCCCCTCTCCCTGCCTAATCCTAACTACCCATATCATCTCTATACTGATGAAAAGGGGGGAGTAGCCTTTGGGGCCCTGGTACAGCTGGTGGGCTCTGAGTTGCTGTCTGTCGCCTTCATCTCCAAACAACTAGACCCCACTGCCAGGGGATGGTTCCCCTGCCTATGGGCACTGGCAGCAGCAGCAGCGGTTTACATGGACGCAAAAAAGTTACTTCAATATCAACCTCTAACCATTTTCTCCCCTCACTGCCTCAGTGACCTCCTGGCTTCCAGATTCCTCTCTGACCTCAGTGACTCCAGACTACAGCAGTTCCACTTAATATTCCTAGACAACCCGCAGGTCGCCGTGGGACGTAGTTCCCAGCTGAACCCGCTATCTGCGCTTCCCTCTCTCCCGATTTCCTTAAGAGTCCCAGCTCACCAGTGTACCGAAATCTTGGACTCTCTGACACAGCCACCGCCAAACCTCTTTGCAGAGCCACTGCCAGACCCCGATATGACCATGTTTGTCGATGGGAGTTCCAAAAAGGACCCAGATGGGCGCCGGGCAGCGGCCTACGTTGTAGTCACCCTACAGAAAGTCCTTGAGGCCCAACCCCTCCCACTAGGAACAACTTCCCAAAAAGCAGAACTAACTGCACTGACCCGAGACGTACACCTGGCAAAAAACAAAAGGGCCAATATCTACACGGACTCTAAGTACACTTTCCTAATCGCCCACTCACATGCGGCAATCTGGAAAGAGAGGGGCTTTCTCACCACTAAAGGCTCCCCAATATGTAATGCCTCCCATATTACCAAACTACTGGAGGCCATCCCCCTGCCAAAAGAAGTGGCCATCTTACATGGCTGGGGACACCAGGCAGCTCGCGATAAAATAGCCCAGGGTAATAATTTGGCTGACCAGGTGGCCCGGCAAACTGCCCTGCAGCGAGAGGTGGCCCCTCTACTGGTCCTAGAGACCTCCTTTATCCCTAAATACACCAAGGCAGAAACCAGAGTGTTACTTGCCCAGGAGGGGACACAAACACATCCTTCCGGATGGATCACCCTCCACGAAAAACTGGTCCTCCCTGAACAACAAGCCATCACCATCATAAAGCAGATCCATGACACCGTCCATATCGGACCGCGAGCTCTCTTAACTTTCCTTAGCCCGCTCTTCTCCCCTCTTCATCTTAGGCAGGCCATCCAGACCGTACACCGCTCCTGTCTGACCTGCGCAACGATCTCTCCTCAAGGAGGGCTCCGGCCCCCCAAGAAACCCACCAGCTGAGAGGACATCTGCCCGGTCAAGATTGGCAGGTGGACTTCACTCACATGTCCAGACACCGGGCTTATTGTTATCTGCTGGTACTCGTAGACACGTTCTCAGGATGGGTCGAGGCCGTTCCCACCTCCTGCAAAACGGCCGCAATAGTATCTGAAACGCTGGTCAAACACATCGTACCCCAGTTCGGACTCCCTAACTCCCTCCAATCCGATAACGGACCGGCTTTTGTTTCGCAGATAACCCAGCAGGTAGCTGCAGCCCTCAACATCACCTGGCATCTTCACATCCTTTACCGACCCCAGTCATCGGGTAAAGTAGAACGGGCCAACGGGGTCCTCAAGGCCCACCTCGCCAAGCTCGCCTCAGAAGTGCGGCTCTCCTGGATTGACCTCCTCCCCTTGGCTCTCACCTGCATCCACACAACACCACACTCAAAGACAGGTTTGACCCCCTTCGAGCTGCTGTACGGCAGGCCCTACCTGCTGACCCATCTGCCCCCAGAAAAACCACCTCCCCTGGCCAATTACCTGCCCCTCTTCACCCGCCTGCGCGCCTTACTCAGGGAACACGCAGATCGGGTCCTGCCACAACCTAGGGACGGTGACGGCTCCATCAGACCACTGTCGCCCGGAGACCAGGTGCTACTCAAGGCCTTGTCTCTCGGGCCCCTCCAACCTCGTTGGACGGGTCCTTACACAGTGGTCCTGACCACCCCTACTGCAGCCAAGCTCTCAGGCCTCGAACCCTGGTACCACGTGACCAGGCTCAAACGAGCTCCCGCAGATCTTCCAGAAAGAGAGCCAGGCTTAGACTCAGGTCCAGGGGCTTCGCCAGGACACACATACCAGTCCTCCCTAACGGGGCCCACAAAACTAAAAATCTCCTGGACCCCCTTTCCACCTGCTATCAGAACATGACAGGTACCCTTCTATTGCTTGTGCTCCTCGGTCAGACCTATGGGGGATTTGATGACCCAGCTAAAGCGAGACAAATCCCGGCCAGGCGAATGAAAAAGCTTTGCGACTCCGCCGGAGAACTCTCCCAATATCCCGAGAAAAGGGTCAGACACATCCAATCAGTCAACTGCAGAGACAAAATGGCTTACAACTTTATAGGAGAGGGATATGAGGTTTCTCCAGAGGGGTACACATACGTTAGAAAGGCCAATGCTTGGCAATGCGTGCCTGTTGTTCTGCCCCCAGAGCCCCTGCCCTCAGATCAGCTCAAAAATTGTTCCTGCTTAGAATATGAAAGAACTCTCCACTCTCTATGCTACCTCAAAGAACAAGCACGTCAATCCAGGGGCCTGACGAACAAAATTTATTGGACTACAACCCAGACAGGACACTTCCCTGGTTCATTGGGCCCCCACCTTTCCTCACTGGCATGCCCAAATAAGACAGGTAAAGAGGTCTTCTAGAACCTAAAGGCACCCATACACGTCTCAGATGGCGGAAGAGTCCAAGATATGGCACAAAAAAAAACAAGCCCAACAAAGACTCCAAAAAGTAATGGACCATTACTTTCCAAAAGTCCATTACCATCCCCTGGCCCTGCCTGATTGGTGGGGTCCTTTACAATTAGACCCAGCCACTACAAACTTAATACAGCTAACATAAAACACCCTAAATCAGTCCAGCCCCCAGTGGGCCCAAGGTTGCTGGATATGCCTAACTGTAAGAACCCCTCGCCCACTAGCCGTGCCGGCCAACCTCTCCCAACCGGTCAACACCTCTGTAGACCCAGCAGCATGTAAAGTGACACCACCCTTGCGGGTACAACCGATAAAAGCCTCAATAGGATACTGCCTAAGAGGCCAAATAACGGACAATGAGACAGCTATAGACGTGGGGGTGAGAGACTTTGCCAGCTACACCACAATACAGAACATCACCACCTCAATATGCGCCCCTCATCCCCTGGTCTTTGTCTGTGGAAGAAACCTGGCCTATACTTTCCTCCCCACAAACTGGACTGGAACCTGCGTACTCGCAGTCCTGCTCCCAGACATTGACCTTATATCAAAAAAAAAAAAAAAAAAAAGAACCAGTCCCCATACCCACTCTAGACCATGTGGCCGGGAGGGCAAAACGAGCTGTCCAGATGGTACTCTTGCTGGTGGGACTGGGCTTATCCACCAGCCTAGCAGCGGGGGCAGCAGGGATCGGGCTCTCACAGCACACGTATGCCAAAGTCTCCCAACAGATCGTATCAGATGTCCAACATGTGGCTGACACCATGTTAAAACTTCAGGGGCAGATAGATTCTCTAGCAGAAGTTGTCCTCCAAAATAGACGTGGGCTAGACCTCCTCACTGCCCGAGAGGGCGGCTTAGGCCTTTTCTTGCAGGAAAGATGCTGTTTCTACACCAACCGCTCTGGAATAGTCCGGACTAAGATCAAAGAACTGCAAGACGATTTAGAACAAAGGCGCCGGCAGCTCCAAGAGCGCCCCCTCTGGGCCGGGCTCAATGGTTTACTCCCCTACCTCTTACCCCTCCTGGGCCCTACACTCCTACTAGTTATGGGCCTCACCATAGGCCCCTGACTCCTCCAACGTGATTTTCGCAGGGTCCAAGAAATAGCGCAGGCCGCGATTGGACGGGCCATGATACTAACAGCTTACACTCAACTCAATCAAGAAGACATAGACCCACCTCACAATCCTGCATAAGCTGACCTTTCGTCCCGACCGGCCCCAACCCCCACGTCACCCCCGTTCAGCAGGAAGTAGCCAGAAGACAAACATCGCCCCTTGTCCTATATCAAAAAGGCTGGGATGAAAGGTCACGCTGACTGTCCCCACCAAAAAGTCCCAGATAAGTACCAGGGACAGACATCCACCAATCAGCAGCCCATTGCCAGGCAGACTGATGGACGCGAAGGTGCCAAGACTCCGGCCAATCAAGAAAAACCGACACGGGACAAAAGGCCAATCAGCACCCTAGAGCCTGACTCCAAGCATATTCGAAAAGGTTCGGCAGCTTCCGTATCCGCCAGGGTATATAGGTGCCGCCCCCCTTCCCGCAGGTTGCAGACTCCCTTTGTCTCTTCACTCACCCGCCCCCAGGAGTTCTGCCCGAGAGCGACCGCCCAATAAAGGCCTTCATCAACGGTCCTTAGAGGTGGCTCTTTCTTCCCGCGGCGTTTTCTAACAGTTGAAAGTAATTTTTAAAGTCATATTTTATTTCTTAGTATATCTTCTATCTCTTTGAATAGCTTTTAAAATTTTATTCATTATAAAACTAGTGTATTTTATTACTTATAAAATAATACAGTAACTATAGTCATATATAGTGTAATATAGCACTCTCATAGTTAGAAAAACAGATGTCTTAATTATGATACTTGACTATCGATTTTATTCTTAACGTCATCGATGGGACATTGTTGGTCCTTTAATGGACCGGAACCTGGTGGTCCTGAGTCGACCATAAGAAAGTGAGAGAGAGAAAGAGGCTGATATCCCCTGGTTTACGCGGAAAGCCAACAGAGTCCTGTTCTCAGGGCTCGCGTTGCTGCACGGAGGCACCGGGCACCTCTCGAGTGGGTGAAGGCGCAGTGCGCCTTCTCGAGAGGGTCTTAGAAGCCCGGGCAAGAAAGTGAGCTCAGTGGGCCTCCGCACTCCAAGGAATTAGCCAGAAATAGAGAGAGAGAAAGACAAGAAAGAAGGAAAAGGAAGGGAGGAAGGGAGGAAGGGAGGGAGGGGGACAGACACGGGGACCAAAGCTCTGATGGAGCAAAGGTGTTTTAATCAACACGGTGTGCTCATATATACTGTCTTACAAGGTGGTTATTCTCAGCAAAGATAAAGATTAAAATTCCAGACTTACAAAGCATAAGAGGATCCCTATCAAAGAGAGAGTTGCAAACAATCACCTTTTACCCTATGGCTCATAAAAAGGAAGAGGGTACTTATCACCGTAATGAGAAATGTCCGGATTCCTCAGCCCCAGGAAAGGCCAAAGGTGTGCCTCTCTTCTTAATTCCTGAATATTCAGAAATCAATAAAAGCCAGAGGGTTCCTGACAGATCCAAAACAGCACACATGCAGCCTCTTGTTAAATGCTTCCTGACAGGACATTTTTATTTTTGAGAAGTTGAGAGAGAAGTACTTATATGCTTTGTTTACCTGTTGATAACTTTTCAGTTACCTGCAAATCTTAAACTAGTATGACACCCTATTATACCATTTAACAGTTAATTTGGACTTCTCTAGTGGCACAGTGGATCAGAATTCACCTGCCAAGGCAGGGGCCAAGGATTTTGACCCCTGGTCCAAGATTCCACATGCCTTGCGGAGCAACCAAGCCAGCACACCGCAACTAATGAGCCATGTGCTGAGGGCCTGCGCTCTTCAACGAGAGAAGCCATTGCAATGAGAAGCCTGTGCGCCGCGAGGAAGCATAGCTCCCAATCATGGCGACTAGAGAAAGCCCACATGCAGCAACAAAGACCCAGCACAACCAAAAATCAATCAATAGATTAGAAACTGCTTAAGTAGTTAAGCAAAGTAACTACTTAAGCGAAGTTACTTTGCTTAAAAAATTAAATTTTATAATTAAAATTTTACATTTTTAGTATTTGAACAAAATGGGGACTTTGATAGTTTCAGTTTTATTCAAGTACTAGATCTTTTCTAAAAGAGGACAAATTCATCTAGAAATATATAGACATCCATCACTTATACATCACTAATACTCTAAAATTTTTTCCAAAGTATACTACAGCTATATGAAAACGTAAGTCATCAATTGTTTCTATTATGTGAGAGAGAGAGGAGTTATGTGAGTGCTGGAAATTTACTCTGGGTTTTTGTTTTCCTATGTCTTGTGGAGTATGCCAAGAATATAAGGACCTGACAGCTCTTTACCGACGCCATTTCTCAGGATTGTGTTTGCAGCAGTCAACCTTGAGGGATGGGTATTATGGGCCAAAGAGTAGATTCACTTATTGCTTGATATGAAACCAGTAGATCCCCCAAGGTCTGTATTCCTCAAGTGTGAAGAAACACACTCTATATACAGCATGAATGCTGACTCTATGGGCTGCTGGGCTGCCTCACGGTGGCCTCATGAGACTCACGGACAAAGAGATGTGATGCAGATATGGGGATGCAGATGGGCATGCTGCTTGCTATGCTGTCAGTAATAAAACTTCCCTCTCTGACTCAGCAGTCTCTTGTCTTCTGCTAGCATATGTGACAGTTAAGACCCACTTTTTAAGTTGTGCACAGGTTATTAAATCCCAGATCCAACAATAAGTGATGTACAAATTATAGAAGACAGCTACTAGGGTAAAAATCAAAACAAAACAAAACAAAAAACCCAAATAGAAAATATGGTCTCTTTCCAGGATTCATTTATATAACACATCTATATTCACAAATACACAAGGAAACTGCCCCAATAACCCCTTAACATGAGAAATATATCTCTAGTTTATAGTTCCACATGATAGTTTGCCAGATAAAGTTTTATTATGTTTTTATCCTTGAATATAAATAGCTATCAAAATCCATTTTCTTTTATAGCATTATGTTAGGTTGGTAACATTCTGTGCAGTGGGCTTCCCAGGTGTCTCAGCCATAAAGAATCCACCTGCCAATGCAGGAGACTCAGGAGACATGAGTTTGATCCCTCGATTGGGAAGATCCCCTGGAGGAGGAAATGGCAACCCACTCCAGTATTCTTGCCTAGAGAATCACATGGAGAGAGGAGCCTGGCAGGCTACAGTCTATGCAGTCGCAAAGAATCAGACTCAACTGAGAGACTGAACATGCATGCATTCTGTGCAGTAATACCAAAGCATTTGAGAAATCATTCTGTAGAAAATAGTCTTTAGCCTTATGAGCCTATGATAATTTACATGGTTAACCTAATGTAAATTTTCACATATAAAAAAGACTGTGTCCTACTTAGTAGTCAGAAAATAACTTGAAGTTAAATTCCTCACTTGAAAATAATTAGAAGGAAATGTCGCCAAAATAAATTGAAGTATTCAAACTTTGGTTTCCTGTTTGATATATCTAAGATAAAATAGCTTATTAACTAAGAAAGAAAAATTAAATTTATTTTTACAAAAGGTATCTGGAGCACTTAATTTTTTCCTAATCCATAATCCCTTAACTATTTTCTTTTGAAGATGCACTGAGCTACTTTAATTGGGAGACAGCTCATAGAGGCAGCTTGCTTTAAATTCAAGCTTTTCTTTCTCAGCTAAATTGATTTTTGGTGTTTATAACCAGGGCCCACAATATTAGCCACCATAGACTGACTTTAATGTTTTTACAATCATTATTGCATTTTCTATTTCTGTAATCATGATAAATATAGCAGAACCCACTTTAAATACTTTACTAAGATAGAAGGATCTGCTACAAAATAGGAGAGGATAAACTGGAGGGAATAAAAATAAATTAATAAGAATGTGGCCTGACAATTTTAATAGCATGGTAATAGTAACATCTATTGAAACTACAACTGATATTTTTTAGTAAACAAAGACATAAACTCTCAAATTTAAAACCCCAACAAGAGCAAACAAGCATCTAGTAGCTAAGATAGTTATGCTTTTAAATCCTAATACTACAGCTGAAGGACAATTGAGTAACAAAAATCTACTACAGAAGAAAATGCTCCTGCTCAATAAAGATAATCTTCTGGACAGTATGCAGCCAGAAAATGTTAATATTGCCCACATAAATTTCAAGAGGCCTATGAAATAATATTCCACTTGTCATTTTGGACTTTGCATATTTTACTGGAATTTTCTTTGCTAAATGATGTATAATAAAGACAGAAATAAATTTTAGTGTATGTCTAGGTCATTAACAGTAAGTAGGACAAGCAGAAGTGATAAGTTGGTGACCTGAGAATCAAAACCATTTAAAAAATAACTCAGAGAGCCCGAAATTCCAGTTACAGTGGAACATTTACATGTTGACATTCTAATACTTGAGACAAAAATGCCTCTAGTGGTGAAACAAGCCACATTTCTTATATCAGAGTATAAAAAAGACATGTATGGAATGTACAGTTTTAGATAGATATTTGGGGAGAAATGGGGCCAGGGAGAGAAATGGCAAGACTTTCAGTAATTAAAAGAGTAGATTCGGAGAGAAGAGAGTTGTGACAGTAATGATAGAATATGTTTTTGGAATACCATGCTACTATTTTTAACCCATTACTATTGTCTTGCCAATAGGACTAACTTCTCACATTTAATATGGATTTCTGATAACATTAGAAAGCAGGGAAAACATTGTGAGTGCCTTTGTATTTGAGACAAATTATATTTATAATAATTTAAGCATATCTCAAGGTATGCCTAAAGCAACACAGATGTAGTCAATATGATATATATAGTAAAATGATAAATTCTGAGTTCTTAAGAGTGGCTTTGCACAATAAATAATCTCTGTAATTTTAACATCAGGATATAAGGATGATACTTTGTGGGGGTGTTTATAACCCTTACCACATTTGTAATAAAAACACTTTCAATAATATATATTTATTATTAGAGTTTCTGACTCTATCACTTGGGGTGTTCCATAAATATTTGTTAAATAAATATTGAGTAATGAACCTCCATAGAGTGAAGAAACATGTAGAGAATCCATGAGAAAAGAGTGCAAAACCAAAAAATGAAGAAACTGACTCATAACCACAGCAGTCTTAGATAGTCATCTGTGTGTCACTGGAAAGCTAAGTGCTCCACAGAACATTTTGCTTTTGAAGCAGGTGGGAAGAAGAAGGGCACAACCTTTGAAAAATGACTTAGCCTGAAGACACAACATAAACTGATGAGAATCAGATAGTCCAAGGTGGCAGACATGTACAGATATGAGATTTTAACCATAAAGAAGGCTGTGTCCCAAATAATTGTTGCTTTCAAATTGTGCTGGAAAAGACATATTGAACGGATTCACGCTGAACCTCCAATACTTTGCCATCTTATGCGAAGAGCTCATTCATTGGAAAAGACCCTAATGCTGGGAAAGATTGAGGGCAGAAGAAGAAGGGGGCGACAGAGGATGAGATGGTTAGATAGTATCACCAACTCAATGCACATGAATTTGAGCAAACTCCAGGAGAT